GTGCTGTTAGCCGCACTACCCTTTCGATATCGGTTACCTTCCCTTTTTACAGATCGCTTAGGGTAGCTGGGTCAAAGATGGCCCCTTTCCCCACAGCCGTAGCACCTTTGGCTATAACTTTTATTGTAGTCGCAAACTGTAGGTGCTGCAACCTCCCTAATGTGAGGAGAACAATGATCCTGCCACTGCTGGGTGGTCCCGTTAGCCGCACTACCCTTTCGAAATCGATCAACTTCTCTTTCTACAGTACGCTTAAGGCAGCTGAATCGAAGATGGCCCCTTTGCCCACAGCACGTAGGGCTGTATCCATTATTTTGGTCGCGAACTGTAGCTACTGCAACCTGCCTGATGCAATGGAAACGATGATCCAGCCGCACGGCTTCAGCTTCCAGTGCATGGGCCAAGGCTTCCTTAAGCGGCACGTGGTGCCCGAGCCTCACGGCTGCTCTGATTTCCAGGTCGCGGATGCCGTCAATGAATGACTGCACCAGGTTCCCTTCAATGAGCGCAGATACAGACCGGTACGCTTTTCGAACCAGCTTTTCCACCTCAAGAGCCCACTGCTGCAGGTTTTCGTTGTTGCGTTGCACGCAATCTTTAAGCTGCGCACGAAAGACGTGTTTCAGGTGAGCGTCGCCATATCTCACTTTAAATGTCTCAAGGTGCTGTTCGTAAGTCACTTTCTTACCGAGAGCTTCCAACACAGTTAAGGCTTGGTCGCACAGGCCTAGGATGAGTGTTGTCATGGCCTGACTTTTATTCCAGCCGTTCGCCTCCATGACAGCCTCGAACTGGATTTTGTAGGCCGACCAGGAAGAAGTCCCGTCGAACGGCGGCACTTTGAATCCACGTAGCGAAGGTGTTGTAGCTACTACGGGACCTATAATTCCATCCCCAAGTTTGAGGTCGTCCAGCGTTTTCTTCACGTCAGCCATCACGTTCTCAACCCGATTGTTCACTTGGTCGATTCGGGTTTCAGCTTCCGACAGGCGGTTGTAATGTTGAGCAACCCTATCCTTCACCTCTCTTATCTCATTCCCGAAGGTGACGTGAAGGTCCTTCATGAGGAGCATCTGCTCTTCCAACCGACGGGCCTGTTCCTCCTGTCCGCCCCGCAGCTGCTCTTCTAATCGGCGTGCCTGTTCCGCCTGCTGGCGGGCTCGTTCCTCCTGCTGCTCTTTCTACCAACGGACCTAATCCTCCTGCTGCTCTTTCAACTAACGGGCTTGTTCCTCTTGTCCGTTCCACAGCTGCTCTTCCCATCGACGTGCCTGTTCCACCTGCTGGCGGGCCTGTTCCTGCAGCATAAACATGAGAGGACTTAAGTCAGGTGCTGCAGGTGTAGGAGCTGCTGACAGGCCGGCCTCCGTGGCGGGCAGTTGGCCCTCCGCCATCTGCGGCGTTGCACCACCAAATCTTCTCTGGTCCGTGTCCTGCTGGCGTTGACTTCGGGTACGGACACTCTCCGTGTCGTCCTTCGGTAAAATCGACTAGATTTGATTGTGACAGTAAAAAATGCCGATTGAATTACCAAAATTGACGATTTAATTACTGAAGACTAATTAAAACTTAAATCACACCAATAATTTACGTGGTAGAGCCATGCTGCAGTTATATTAGTAGTATAGTTGTAGCACGAATGGGTCGGCTCGACCGGGGAAGGACCACGCTCTCACAGAATACCAGCGTGAAATAGTAGCTTAATGCTGCTGTATTTCGTATGGTGAGTGCAGAGAACCGGAGACCCTTTTTACTGGAAACGAGGCATTCCATCTTAGTCCTCACGGGTGACAACGCATCTGCATTTTGATTCGTAATCGAGGACAGATGTAGATGTCTATGGGCCACAGCAACCACTTACCATCAGGTGGACTGTGTGCTCGTTTGTCACCCCATCCTATATAAAAAAAAAAAAAAAAAAAAAAAAAATAATTAATCGCACTTAACAATTTAGTTCACTTTATTCCGCTCCGAAAGCTTCGCTCGTATCGCCAATACAATACCCTCCGGTCGCGGCCTATAACGGGTTTATATAGGCCTTTTCTACCGAAACATTTAGAATGTTCCAACAAATACCGGTCCCGAACGACCAGATGTAGAAAATTCGAGTGTGGACTTTTCTAGAAAGCTTAATTCTTCTATTCGATACTAGATGGCGCTGTTGGTGGAAAGGTCAGGCGTGGCATTTTCTAGAAAGCTCTCCTCGCTCTGCTTCCCGACACCAAATGGCGCTAGAGGCATCAATTATGGCTTGCAACAATATAATAAAAATGTAAATTGCAGATGTCTGTACAGTTTATATTTTGGGAACAAATTGATTGAGAGGGACTAAAAATAAGTAATACGTTTCTACAATTGATAGAATTAGGCATTACTTTGCGGAAACCCATTATAATAAAGATATTAATATTTACGTTGCAACCATCCGCTAAGTTAAACACAATGATGTGTCTTACCTAGATTGAAGAGCACCTCCCGCATTCCCTCAATTGCGTGCACTAATCCCGTCACCACGAATTCCAGCACAACTACTCCCAACACCACTACTCTCAACACCAAAGGTGTTATTGATGAAAATGGTATTATTCGCGTTGGAGGTATACTCTCAAACTCTAGCCAGCACTACGACTAAAAATATCCATATATCCTTACCTCGTCACGTAAATAATTAGTAACATTATACATAAGTGCAACACTTGTTTTCAATCTAAATCACGCGCAGTTTTACCGCTCATGTCAGATCTATCTAGTCAGCGTTGATGTTCACGAGCTGAGACAGCTTATACTCATGTGGGATGTGATTACGCAGGCTCATTGCAGTGCTCGCCTCTTCGCGGGTGCGGTATAAAAAGCCGCAAAGCATTTTCACGTACTTGAAAAAGCGCGCTACGCATATAGAGGTAGCGACAGATTTGAGTACAGTTTCATTTCTAGCCGCTTTGAAACGATTTCTTTCCCGTTGGGGCCAATAAAATGTCTTTATATAGATAACGGGACGTGTTTCTTGGGCACGCATTCTTATTTACAAGATTTTTATAAATTTATCGATAAGGTGCTTAGTCCTCAATTTCATGATGAGCTGGCTGATAACTGCATGGCTGATAACTGAATGGAAATTTATACCACCCGCGTCTCCCCATTTCGGTGGATGTTGGGAAAGTATGATAAAAGTAATAAAGTCTACCACCTCTTTAACGTAATTGGTCAACAAATTCTCTCTTACGAAGAGCTCTTAACGGTTTTAACGCAAATTGAGGCATTCCTCAACTTGCGTCCATTGACAGCTATGAGTAGTAAATCCTGCGGAACCGTCTGCACTCACGCCTGTTCATTTTCTCAACACATTCCCATTGTCATCACTTCCCGGTTATCCCACTGACTCTACAAGCATAATCCAGCGGCATTCACTTTTAGGCAGCCTCGTACAGTCTTTCTGGAAACAATGGCGTAGTGATTAACTGCATAAACTACAGGTTAGGGCTAAATGGAATTCACCTGCGACTCCCATACTAGTGGGATTGTGGTAGTTATTATGACGGATAAAGCACCACCTCTATCTTGACTCCCAGGAGTCGTGGAGAAGGTGCACCTATCCTAAGATGAGATAGATGCGTTTATGCCCATTACCAAACCAATAATGACCGGCTTAACATTTAAATACATAGCTATATTATATATTTTGTTACAAATGTATAGCACAAACTTAAACTAATAATAAATAATTGTTATACTTTATATGCATAGGCTTATTTTATAACCACAGTCTTTAATATTAAAATTGTTTGATTGTATCATGTATCATAGTTTATAGTAAATAGTATAGTATATATATATATATATATATATATATATATATATATATATATATATATATATATATATATATATATATATATTATAGTGTATAGTATATAGTATATATAATAATTTATAGTATTGTTTATCTTATTTATTTTATAACTATTTATTTATAAAGGCAGCCTTTTATGCCTGGGGGGATGTTGGCGTTATCTAGTTTATTTTATATAATGCATTTTTCTAAATTTGCCCTTCTTTAAATTCATATATTTCGGGCATTCGTATCCCACTAACCGCACACCTAGTATGTGATATATATATATATATATATATATATATATATATATATATATATATATATATATACACACGATAGAAATAAATACTGGATACTTGCAGCTAACACGGTTAACATGAATTTTGGTTTAAGGCGATCAAAAATTTGCTCTAGACAATAGTTCTATAAGCTTCATGATGACTGACTTCTAATCTCTTGCTGAAGAAGAAAAGTCATTCACTCGAGTACCTAAAAATAGAAACAATACCTCAAATTTTCTTTCATTCTTACAAAAGCTATTGAAAAGGTTGTAAAATTTTGAAAACTAATTAACAAAAGCGAAGACTTCTTAACAATTTCGCTTTGTTAAGAAGTGTACATATAAACTGATGTCTGATGAACACTCTTCAGTTCTTTAAGATGTCTAAGCGAAAGCAGACTCTCTTAACGTGCAAACTAAGTACGAAACTTTGACTGAAGTTGATCGCGGTGTCTTGTCGAAAATTGCCGTAGCTGAAAAGTTCCAAATTCCAAAATCTACCTTGTCTACCACTCGAAAAATAGAGAAAAGATAGAGGAAGCTATCGCTTCTGGAAGTACCAACAGTCGTTCGGAAATGTTACGTACAGCTACCCACGAAGACATAGAATCGCGATTATTGGCATGGTTCAATCATATGCGGTCAGAAAACATACCATTGAGCGGACCTCTTGTGAAAGAAAAGGCACTCAAAATTGCTGAAGATTTGGGAATCAGTGACTTTAAATATTCGAATGGATGGTTATGGAGATTTCAACAGCGGCACCGAATTTCTTCACAAAAAATTTGTGGCGAGGGAAACAAAGTGAATAAAGAAACTGCAAACGAGTGGATTGGAGAATTTTAATCAACTAGAAGAAAATATCATCCTCGAGATGTCTACAACATGGATGAAACGGGACTTTTCTTCAATCTTCTACCAGATAGAACGCTGAGAGTCAAAGGGGAAAAATGCCGCGGAGGAACTCGCAGCAAGCAGAGGCTAACTGTCGTACTTACATGTAATTCGGATGGCAGCCACAAACTTAAACCATGGGTGATTGGTAAATCAGAAAAACCTCATTGCTTCAGTAGAAATCGTGTTGATGTAAACTTGTTGCCTTGCAAGTATACATTCCACGAAAATTCGTGGGTTGATTCGAAACCATTCCGCACCTGGATTACGGAATTCAACAAGGAAATGGCTAAAAAAAATCGACATGTGTTGCTTACAATGGATAATTTTTCCGGACACAATATCAAAGAACTGAACTTCTCCAAATTCAAAGTCAATTCTTTCCTGCAAATTATACAAGTCGACTCAAACCGTTGGACCAAGGAATCATCAAAATCTTCAAGCCGTGTTATCCGAACAATGCAAAAAATGATCATTTTCGCACTCGCTTAGTGCGAGCGGCGATTGCTGAAATCGAGAAAAACCGAAGCATGCCAAAGTGGACTGTTCTCGATGCTATCAGTGCTACTGCTAGTTCATGGAAAAAAGTTACTTCCGAAAACATTGCAAAATGTTTCGAAAAAGCGTGGACACGGTCTGATGAAGCAGCTCAAACAGTCGCAGACGATGAAATGGTTCCTGTAACTGCTGAATGGGAAACTTTGCAATCGTTAACGAACGTAAGTATTAATCAACGTGCAAATGATTAATGTAAAAGTTATATCATATCTAAATTAATTGTTCATATTAATTAATGCAATTCATTATTATGTTTAGATCTCAGTTGAGTTCAACGAGTACGTCGGTGTCGATGACGATCTGGCCACGGTTTTGAATGAAGATTTGACTACGGGCCTGATGCAAGACCAGGGATCAGGAGTATCCCAGACCAACACGAGTCCAGTGATAAGAGCGATATGGAAGAAGTCATCCCATCAACGTCGAAGGAGGTTAGAGATGCACTCGATATTTTTCTTCGCTATGCAGCGACGAACAACGTTTAAGACGCATTTTCAGATGGGCTGGAAACGATCAGCTTCGAATGTGCACGCAAACTCCGACCAACTTATCGCCAAAACAATATCGAAATGTATTTTATGAACAAATAAAAACAAAGAGACAAAATCGGATAATATGTAATAATAATAATGATAAGTTAAAAAATTTATAATAAAAAAATACTGTAAATATAAAATAGTAATATCAAAGTTATTAATAAAAATGTTTCTATGATGAATATACAACATAATATTGAGTTTAGAAACACGAATCATTTTTTGCATTGTTCGGATTACACGAACTCCCCTGTAACACGAACTATTTGTCCGATTTTTTCGTGTTCGTGTTAACGAGGGTTTACTATGTAGCGGCGCTGTCGTCGCGCCACTAGCACACCGAAATACACCGAAGCCTAAATCGCGCTATTAACATTCCGAATTATAGACAGTATATATAGAACTTCTCCGAACTATCACTTGGAGTGTTGGTCGCTCCCCGGGCAGAACACCTTGCCCGGCGGGAGATCTCTCCTTTTCCTCCTTCCACGGCCACAGTGGTGACCGCGACGTGATCTGAACATGCAACCAATCTTCGGAAACTTCAAGCTTCATCATCGTCATAAAATACCCCACCTATACGCTCCAGAGCAGATATCGTCTGCAGTCTTCATATCCTGCAAGCCATCTAGCTTCACAAGGTTCATCGCAGCACTGGAATAATAATGCTTCCTGTTCCTTTAAGCTACTCTCTGCGCTATACAGTGTTCGGCATGGCTCTGAGCCTTACTGCTCGCCTCTGCTTCATGGCACTCTCGCAGATTACTTGCCTTCTTCTCGACTCACCGCAGACTACAAGGCAATCTCCTAGCACTTGCACATTCGTCGACAACGAGACTTCACTATCGACCTCCGGTATGAGCAGGGGGGTGATGTAGTGGCGCTGTCGTCGCGCCACTAGCACACCGAAACACACCGAAGCCTAAATCGCGCTATTAACATTCCGAATCATAGACAGTATATATAGAACTTCTCCGAACTATCACTTAGAGTGTTGGCCGCTCCCCGGGCAGAACACCTTGCCCGGCGGGAGATCTCCCCTTTTCCTTCCACGGCCACAACTATATATATATATATATATATATATATATATTTTAAAAAAAATATCGCTGAGAAGTGTCAGACGAGTCAATCATTAATCGAAGGGAAGAAACCGCGGCGCGTATTCATACTTAAGTTTAAAGTGGTGAAGTTTTGTGTCCGCAAAAGAAAGGAAGAAGCGTTAACTCGTCTACGTCCATTGATCAAGAAGTTGTTATGTATTTTGAGAAACATTTTACTGTTGTTCCTTTTTGACAACAAAATCATTAAATTCTTCTCCTATTATCGCCGAATCATTGCTTAAACAAAATGTAAAGGCTTGTCCAAATATTTTTAAATTCCATAGAGTAAAAGATATCATTAAATATATTAAAACTATTGATGTTGAGAAAACGGCAGACTTATGGGGGATTTCCATTAAAGTTGTTGCATCATTAATAGGTACAATAGCACCTTATCTAGCCGCTATTTTTAATACAAGCGTCGAAACTGGTGTATTTCCTTATTTAATGAAACATAGTAAAGTTATACCTTTATTAAAATCTGGTAGTACATCAGACCCCGCCAATTTTAGACCAATTTCCGTACTACCAACTTTAAGTAAAATTTTTGAAAAAATTATTTTACAACAGATGATAAGTTTTTTTTTAATAAAAATAAATTGCTCCATACAAGTCAATTTGGTTTTACAAGAGGTCGCTCGACAAGCGATGCCGGAGTTGAGCTTATAAAACATATTTTTTGTGCGTGGGAGAATTCAGAGGATACTTTGGGTATATTTTGTGACCTTTCCAAGGCCTTCGACTGTGTTCACCATGAGACATTAATCAGGAAGCTACAATACTATGGTGTCAAGAACACAGCGCTTAAACTAGTTATTTCATATTTAAGTAATAGAGTGCAGAAAGTTGTTATCAATAGTAAAAGTTCTTCTGGATGGCCCCTACAGATAGGTGTCCCTCAGGGCTCAATTCTTGGCCCATTCGTATTTTTAGTGTATATTACGGACGGACGGACTTACCCTCCTTTGTAGGGGATAATCATGATAAAGTATTATTTGCAGATGATACTTCCTTGATTTTTGAACTTAAACGTCAATCATTTAAATGTGACGAAGTGAATAATGCAACATCGAAATTAGTGCATTGGTTTAACGTTAATAATCTACATTTAAACGGCAATAAAACTAAATGTATTAAATTTACAACAACAAATGTTAATAATCCGAGTACCAATGTGTTTTTAAATGGGGAAGAACTGGGTCCTGTTGAGTCCTCTGTTTTCTTGGCAGCACTCTCGAAGCTAAGCTTCAGTGGGGCCCCCATATATCTAAACTAGCAAGCAGACTAAGCTTTGCAGCTTATGCTGTAAAAAAGATTAGAGGTCTCACTAATGTCGAGACAGCTAGATTAGTTTATTTCAGTTATATCCATAGCATAATGTCATATGGAATTTTTCTATGGGGGAATGCGGCTGATTTAGAAACTATTTTTGTTTTGCAGAAGAGGACCATTAGAGCTATTCACATTCTTAAACCGAGAGGGTCTGTTTTTTTGGCATCACTCTCGACGCTAAGCTTCAGTGGGCCCCCATATATCTAAACTAGCAAGCAGACTAAGCTCTGCAGCCTATGCTGTAAAAAGATTAGAGGTCTCACTAATGTCGAGTATAAAAATGTATAAAAAGGGTAATTATGATATAAATGAATACATGGTTGATAATAACCCCTGGGAATATCCCCTTGGAGGTCGCTTCCAAGCTTCTTCTAAAATAAATTTTGTAAATATTCTGTGACCCTTGACAATGTAAAATTTATTTAAAAAAAAAAACGTCCCTTTCAGCTTTCTCGTTCAGCTGGGTTTCTTGCTGGTTCCTCCCAGGATAGAGGTTTTTTTTCGAACCAGTGGTTACGTAAAGTAATTCTTATTGAAAGTCAATACTTTCAATAAGAATTACTTGTAATCTATATTGAATAAAAAATTATTTTATTTTCATTTCTTTTTCTTTTATTTTACGACTTGGCAAAACCTGTCTTCGGAGCGTGGAAGATCTACGAGGTCGGCGGTGATGCGATAGGCATGCAATTTCTTTTAACGAACGCCCTTACTCTCAAACAGCATCCCTTTACAGTCCAGGATCGAAGGCCACAGGCTTTGCTATTCTAAATTCTCTCTATTCATAACATATAAATAAATATTTTTGCGGATAACCGTGGAGAATATCACGTTCTAAATGTCGTTGAGGAAGGGCTAAATTGCACTGCATTGCATTTTACAAAAAAAGGTTCAGATTAGTCACAGTTGCTAAGTTATCACAATGTTGCTAAGATATTACATTGCTGAATAAGTTGATTACAAATTTGATTGATGGTTTGGTTTCCTCCTTGATTGGCAAATGAGTACGCAAGTTGGTGACCGGGTCGATAATCAGGTAGGTTACCAGATTGAATGGAAAGTAAATTTGCGATTTGGTTACTATTTTGATCACCAGGTTGGTTACCATCTTAATCGGCAAGTAAATTTGCGGGTTTGTTACAAACTTGATTACCAGGCTGGTTAAAAGCACGATTAGCAGCTTGAAAGGCAGAATGATTAAAAGCTTGATTAGCACGTTGGTTATCTTTAATAAAAAGTTTCTTCGTATAAAATTGAAGAAAAATCTCTTTGAGCGTACTATCTGGCTGGCAATACATATAGGACATTAAATAAAAGAAAAATGGACAGTAAAAACACTTTCCCGCCGTTTTTAATTGTTTTACTCTCCGCCAAAATGAATGAATCTAACGAAAAAATTCGATACCCTTTAAATTTTATTATAAAAAAGGGAAAAATGAGATTTAAGCCGCGAAAAAAAATTCTGACGTTTATAGACAAAATAAAGTGTCAGTAAGAGTAGCACAAAGTTGGTTCAAGCGTTTTAAGTCCGAGAATTTTGAACAGGTTTCTAAGTTTTACAAGTAAAAATCCACTCTTACGTAGTAGTGCGACTTGTATTATTGCATGTTGTCTAATTCGAAGTTTAGATGTCTTCTAATGGATCTATTTTATTTAGCTCCGGCTTTTAATCTAAATGATCTGAATGATTTAGGGTTCATATCAGAATCTTTCAACAGACGAATACAGTCTATCCTTGTTAAATCGGAAAATAGGTAATCCGTGGGTTAAAACGTCACATCTGACACCATGTTCAACTCGTTATTTATTTAAAGTTATGAATGTGAAGCTTTGTATTATTTTTATATATTAGATCCTTACTGATATTGGCGGTTATTTTAAAAAATGAAAACAAAATATAAATAACGAAATTATATATTTAATCAATCAAATCAAACTCAAAATCAAAATTTACATTTGTGAAACACAGGTATACATATACAGTAGGTGGTCGTACATTTAATAGTGCGCTGTGTTTTGTCGTAATGAAATAGGTTAAAATTAACATTTTTTTTTCATAATTATAATAATGAAATAATATTCTTAAAATATGATGAAACCCATAACAAATTGCAGGCATAAGATTTATAATATTATAATAATGTATCGTTTAAAAACTCATCTTTTGTATAATAACAATTGTCAAGAAGAAATGTTTGCAGTACTATTTTAAAATTTGACAGCACAATTATTTGTATTGCATTGTGAATTTTGTTGCATAATTTGGAAACAAGTTCGAAAAAAGCTTTAAGGCAGATTTACATTTTAAATTGTTTAATTGATGTATGTATTGAGCACGTATTGTTGTTGTGTGTGTAGGTCTAGGATTTCTTCTTATAAAAAGGTCAGTTTCTAAAATATACAGCGCCAGGAAATTTGACAGTTTTAATGATTTAAAGTAAGGCACAGAACTGTCTATCGATTGTAGACCACACATTGATCTAATGCAGCGTTTTTGCAACATGAGTACAGCCCCTCTGTCAGTTGATGGTCCCCAAAAATAACAACATATCGAAGAATTGAGTCAAATATATATAATCAAATATAAATAAATATATAAAAGCTATTTAACTAATAAAAAACAACACATTTGGGTAAGATTCGTAAGCCGTAGAGTCGAAGACGTGATCTGTAACAAAAAAACAAACAATTTTCTACTGAACAACACTATTGTAACTAAATTCATAAACTCTACAGTAAAATATAAACACTAATTTCCTTGTATCGTGAAGTTGCCATGCTTATAATAATGTCGGAATAAAGAGCGCACCTATTTTTGCGCACTATCTTATACTCCTGTTCAGCTATGAAGATTGCAACTGCGGGACCAGAACTCACGTACACCAATAGTTTTGTTGAATAAACTTAGAATATGACGTTAATTAGTGACTATATTGGCCCCAATGAAAATCAATAAATTATAATGATTTGTTAATAAAATCTCGGTCTGTCCATAGGGTCCAATACAAAGAATATTTGACTACCATGTGCATGTACAGCCAGGCAGTCGAGCTATTGAAGTCTAACCAAGTTTAACATAAAGCTACCTGCCTGTGCCAACTCCTATATACTATACCCTGAATACATCAATCTATTACAGTCTGTAAACGTTCGCTGCTAGACATCTGTATTGCCTGTAGTTGCCAGTACTGGTGGGTTGGCAACCAATCACATTCGGTTGTTATCAGATAAAAATGCTGCTGCGCACTTGCTGTGTAAGTTCCCCTCTGCTGTCTCTTACGAAACCCCAGAGAGAGGGCGTAAGAGTGCCCGCCACCCCACGACACTGTAAATATTGTTAAGTCAAATGCTTAAATTTATCTCATCTCTTTCGTGAGAGGAACTCAATTCCTTTAATTTAAAAAAATTTTTAGTAAGATATAACCTACCTTGAGAGGTGTCCAAAGGAGCAAGGGCTACCTTACTTATCCTTTACAGCCACCTTTACATTTAGGTTTAGAGCAATGTTGACATGGATGTTGACATGGCCGTGGTTGTTGATGTGGCTGTTCATGTTCAATACTTTCTTCACCGCATGGGCAGCCACCTTCTTCGTTCGAACCGGAATCAGGATTGCCTTTAATGGAATAAGCGGGGACGGTATTAGTGCACGCAATTGAGGGAGCGCGGGGGGTGCTCGTCAAACTAGGAAAGACACATAATTTTATTACAAACGGCGGATGTGGGCAAAGTAATTCTTACCAACTTTAATATATTTCCACTTATAATTGATTTCCGCATAGTAACGCCTGATTCTATTAATTATTTTATACAAGATTTTTTTTTATTTTCCTGCCATTTTTTTATTATAATTACATAAGTAGGTGAGTAATTGAATTGTAATTGACATGGCTCTATCTTAAACTATATTTGTATTGTCATATAAACCTATCATTACTGTTAAACAGCACTCTCCTATAGACTCAGCATGAATCACAGCCAACCGTTTCTCATGCAATAAGCATATTCGTAAGTTTTCTTAGCAGCAAATTTCCTGTGCGAAGGTCCCAGTTCTATTTCGTAGTAAATATACGAGACAGGAAGCTGAGTTTCTTTACATAAGGGTGAAAAACGTGCTTACATTGTGATCCTAGACATGTACATGATCCAAGACAAATATCTTCGTTTATAATCAAAATATTGATGCGTGTATAGGAGCGAACCTAATGAAAGTTAAAGTAAAGTTACAGCCTAGCTGTATACTTCCCCACGACCGGTTTTAGGGCAAGGAAGTGTCCGCCGCCAACTTCACATGTCTTTGAAATATTTTTTTTCTTATTCCTCATACATACAGATTTCCTCACGATGTTTTACTTCACCACCAAATATGTGGTAAATCAGCAATTAAAGTAGCAATTAACATTTGCATTGATGCTGGCGGGAATCGAACCCGGATTACTCGCGTACTGTGGTATACAGCGAGCGTTCAGCGTCTGAGCTACCACAGCTCACAGGACTTAATGACGAGGAAGAATTTATGCAATGGCAGTTCAGACAGTTTCCGTCATCTACACATCGTGCAGAACACAGCAGCATTAAGATGCTATTTTACGCTGGTCTTCTACGGAATGTAATCTTACTCGATCAGATCAAGCCATTCGTACCGCAACTATAATACGTATATATTCGTACTACACCGTGATGTTTTCACATAAGAATTGATAGCTTATCACTCAAACCTAATTAAGAAGATATATATAACTCCTTGAGAGATACTTACATGACAATGAGATGCTTATGGCTGCGCCGATCTGAAAAATAATAGAATAGGGTTAAGCTAAATTTTTATACAAATAAAAAGAAGAAAACTATTTAAAATGGACAAATAAAAGTGACAAAGGAAAAAAATGTGCGATTAATTGCGTACACACGTAATAAGTGAAATTTCTTTACGACAAGTCATTTTTCTTTTATTTAATATTTTACATAAATGGGTTCAATAAAACTCACTTATTCAGCACCGGCGGTGAAATGTTACAAAAAACGTGACGTTTTAGTTTTTTTTTAATATCGTTCTAAATTTCTTCACTGCATCGATAAAAAAGTTTCCACCAAAAGTGTGTGTATGTTGCTACTAATGCAGGTTTGGACAGGATTTTTCTTTACAGAACTCTAACACAATAAAAGTCATAATATCGAGTTGACTTCAAAACTGATAGAGCAGCGATCTCAGTTATTTTGGAATTTTCAAAAAATATTTCCGTACTTACCGAAATATCTCACCGCTTTTATTGTGACAAGCTTCAAAAAGAATCGTTTTGTTGAGACAAAATATATCAAAAATCAACTTTATTTTGTATACAATTATTACCAAGATTAAACAAAAATAAAGCATTAAAATTATTAAATTGGGTATTATTAACACTTACTAATAAAAAGAAAAGAAGAACTTTCGGCTCCATCTTACGGGTTTCTTTGCTGCGAGTTAAAAATTTCAAGTCACACCTGCCTTTTATACTAATGTCCGAGCATACCCCTTCGAGTCTTGTTTATTTAAGTTGTGCATAATGATGTTATTCTCTATAAAACGCATTATAATAATGTAAAATATCTGTTGTCTTTACGTGCAATCTTACAATATTTTTACACTTTATTAATGTCAGATGTAAGTGGAAATCAGATATTCCCTTTAATAATATATTAAACAAATGGCCCAAATCAAACGTGCTGATTACAGGATTGGTAATTATTTCGTAGAGCAGTTTAAAGTTTCACAAGTAGCCCTGAAGCTTTGTGAGAAATGTTTTTGTTTATTTAACATGTTACAAAAACCCTGTGGTTCCTGTTAAATGCGTTATCATAATCAGTATTCAAACGTATAGAATAACTCGACCATAAAGTTAAATTGAATTTAAATAGTTTTTTATATACAAATTGCATGTGGTTTTACTATCTCTGCATTATCCAGCGACTAATGATATTGTCAAAGACTCTCGCTTTGTCAGTTAGAGATAATTAAACACATACAATCCGAAAACGAAAATTTTGGTCGACTTATCCGAATAAAGTTATTTCTCTACTATTGAATACTCATTTACATAACGAACTTAAATGGAAATACAGCGTTTTTTACATATTTTATGTAGTTACTTTTGTGTTAGATTGTGTGTAATACTTAAATTTTAAAGAAATATAGCAATTTATAGAAATATATAGACGCCGCTCTCCATTTTACATCGCTGGCAGGAGATCTTCCCTTTTCCTTCGCCATCCAAAGTGGTGACCAACCGATGTTATGTATTCACACCACAACAACCTGCAACTTTCTGACATTTACAGAATCAAGCGTGTCTTCGTCGTGCTTATGCAAGCTCGTCTAAATTGTCTTAATTTTAACTCACAGCGTACCATCGGAAACTATTCAAGACACAGAAAAAATTAGGAGTATGGGGGCATAAAAACTTTAAATCCTACGGGGATATCTAATGACACGTGGATATCTTACGTGGTACAGCCATACAGCGGCTCTATTAGTACTATAGTTGTAGCACTAATGGATCGACTCGACCGGGGAAGGACCACACACTCACAGAATACCAGCGTAAAACAACAGCTGTACCATGTGTTTCGTATGGTGAGTGTAGGGAACCGGAAACCATTTTTACTGGAAAGGACACATTTCATCTTAATCGTCACGGGTAACAGCGCATCTGCATTTTGATTTGTAACCGAGAATAGATGTAGATGTTTATGAGCCAAAAATAAGAACGGCTTTCTGACATCCTTCGTAGCCATGGCTCGATCTTCACCGCTGGATATACTATTGGAAATGAAAGCGGGGCACACTACCATCACTCTTAGTTCGATGAAAATGAGAGTTGATGAGGGCAATCTCCTAGTGTTGTATAACTGTCTGCCAGCCAGCCAGTATGTCTGTTGCGGGAGTCCATGGATTTGTCGTGTGAAAAACGACACGTCATGCTTGACAAATCGATTGACAAACACGTTGATGTTTTGCACTTATTACTCTGCTTCCTGTCAACAGTTTGGATATTGTTCACTTCCGGCGTGAATAGGTTTACAATGGTAATGGAAAATTAAATAAATTCTTTTTAATAAAAATTTACTTTTCGCGCAAGCAAAACCGCGGTAATAGCCTATGTTTCACACTTAATTATAATATTGACACAGTTGGCAATAAACCCATAAATATAAGTACTTATTGTTCTTCAATTATTATTTAATCAGCTTGAATGTATTAAGTACTGAAACGTTATTTATGTAACCTCTAACTAGCCCGCCTCTGTTTCACTAAGTCAAACCAATGACTTAGTGAAACAGAGGCGGCAAATTTGATAAAGGAGTCAAATGGTGTAATTAAAAATATAACATCATAAAAAATAGAATGTAATTTTATAATATTTTATACAATTTCTATTAATATAGAAGAAGATTACAAGATTACAAGGCATCCATTGCTGAACATAGGCCTCTCCCAAGGAATGCCACAAAGCATGGTCCTGAGCCGATTGCACCCATCGACTTCCTGTATGCCTTATCAGGTCACTCCATCGAGTGGGGGGTCGCCCTACACTATGCCTACCGGTAGGAGGCTGCCACTCGAGAATCTTTTTTCCCCATCGGTTGTCGATTCTTCGAGCTATATGACCGGCCCATTGCCACTTCAGCTTACTAATCCGTTTGGCTATTTCGGTCACTCTGGTTGAACTACGGATATCCTCATTTCTAAGTTAATCATGCAGAGAAACTCCGAGCATAGCCCTCTCCATTACTAGCTGAGCGACTTTGAGCGTCCTCATACGAGCAGCAGTGAAGGACCACGTCTCAGATCCGTAAGCCATCACTGGCAACATGTTCTGGTTTTATAATCTAGTTTTCAGGTTTTGAGGTATATCTGACGAGAAGATGTGTCATGATTTCCCGAACGCTGCCCAACCGAGTTGAATCCGTCGATTGACCTCTCGTACGAAGTTGAATTTACCTAGTCGGGCTATTTGTCCCAGGTTAACGTACTCGTCAACAACTTCGAGCACAGTACTCACAACAAGTATCGGCATAGGTGTGACACGGACATTAAACATGCTCTGTTTTTGTCCATGTTCATCTTAAGACCTATCCGTTGGAAGACACCATTGAAGCCATTGAGCATAGTGCTAAGGTCCTCCAGCGATTCTGCCATAAGGACTATATCGTCGGCAAATCGAAGGTGAGTGATGTACTCGCCATTGATGTTAATACCGTATCCTTTCCAGTCCAGTAGCTTGAAAACGTCTTCCAACGCAGCGGTGAAGAATTTCGGGGATATAACGTCACCCTGTCTTACACTTCTCTGCAGTTGGATAGGTTTCGTACTCTTGTTCTGAACTCGGATAGCCATCGTAGCTGACAGTCAACCTGGCACCGCTGAAAGCACTGTAGCACCGCCCAAATTTCGACGAAATGAAAGGCTTTGTAATAGTCCACATACTGAAAATGTGAAGATCTACCTCATACAACCAAACTACTTTATAGGTATGTGTTTTTAAAAAGACTGTCGAGGTCCGTCGCAATTTAAGTACGTTATTCTTTATTATTTTTGTTCACTACGTTTAGATAGAATATCATAATAAAATACTATTTTAGATCATTTAGTTACAAAAATGCCTTGATCACTCAATGCCACCATTGAACAAATTCGTACCTATACTTTATACCCATACTTCAGAATATTAATCGTAACTTTTGATAGGATGAACCGGTTTTATTCAAAGACTAAATATCATAATAATCGTTAAGAAAATTGTGAAGCGTATTTTCCTTTAAGCAAAATTTTCCTAATAATTATTTTGATATGAATCAGTACTTTAACTTTGTATATGAAACGTTAAGAAACAAATAGACGGACAATTCTAGAAGTTATAGAAATAAATACATTTCTATTTTAGTCCCTCTCAATCAATTTGTTACAAAAATATAAAGTGTGCAGACATCTGCAATTTTCATTTTTATTATATGTAAGATAAGAAGAGAACGTAAGATAAGATGAAGATAAGAGAGAACAGATTGTGAGAATTAGTTTATTCTTAAAAAACAAGAGAATCAAACGGATTTTTAGGTTGGTTATGTCCATTGACTTTAGTTTAGTTTAGTTATTTAGTTCATCATCATCATCATTACAGACTGCCCTTCACAAGTCCACTGCTGAACGTAGGCCTGAACATAGCAGTAGGTCCGCTTGAGCTACATGCCGCTGAAGGATCCAATTCTCTCCAGTAGAGATCTAAATTTTTAGCCTAACTCTCGATCTGCCTTTTTTGGTCTTTGCTCCATTTCTAATACCGTTTTATTTGGAATCTCAAATACGACTAGTTCAATAATAAAACAATAAATTATGAAAGCTATTCTACTTGATCGTTAAAATGCAAGGTGGTACAAAAAAACCTTATTATTATTTCTTATTGGTCTTCAAGGATAAGGTTATTTTCTTAACCATATTACTCAGTGGTTTGTATTCGAATATAAAATCGTTTAAAATCAAGCAATAAGCGGTTGTCTGATCTGGTATTTCTTGGTCTGTTTCGATTTCAACTCTCACATCGATCGAACCTTTTAAAGTTCCGTGTTGTTTTGAACAATCAATTAAAAATAATGGAGCCACGTCTTTGAACTCATTTAAACCCATCAACGGCTCTGACCGGCGTCTGTGATGCGTCTGTTGAAATTGCGCATACTGTTCGTATAAACGTAAAGAAAACTTATCTTCTGAAAATTGATATTCAGCCCTCCATAAGGATAATAAGATAAATTTAAAAAGACATCTCGTACGTGACTATGGTCAAACTCTGCCATTGATAATTTCGCGTTATGTTTGCGTTTGATTGATAAGGCAACGACCACAAAACGTAGTTTCTCTATTTGCGATGAAGTTTTTATAGACCAAGTATGTTTACGTGTTTTGGGTAGCAATGGATACTCATATAAGTCCCAGGAACGGAATGCTAATGAAATAGCTCTATCTTTACCTAAATGTTTTATAGGTTGATTCTTTCACGATCTGATATTTTGATGTGTGGAGCTCGCAAAACAATTTTATTTATTATAATATACTCTGCAACTTCACTTGTATTTAATATTCTGCTGAACACTGAGAAATGAATTTTCGAGGTGAAGAAGTACAACTGTAGATACATTTCCTAAAAAAATATGATAACTTCCAATAAAAGCCCGCCTACTTTGTGTATCCAAGCCAGTTTTAAAAGATTATAACTTATATTTTTTTTTTTCCTTTTTCATTTTAATAAAACAATAAATAAATCAATTACGTCTCAACTAAAAGAAAATTCTTTTCAAAATTTGGATTACCCGATTAATACTCATTTCTCTCGACCTATTATCCTAAATTTGATTTAAAAAAAGTAGTTGAATCAAAGGTAATGGACGGCGACTAAAAAAATGCATCCAGTATTCTATTCTCAGATGACATCCTCGCTCCTCGTAATGTCGAAACTCTTGAAGGCCTTCATCAGAAACATCCTTCGGTCAATCCTTCCCAGAATTTACCGCTGCCTCCCAATACTTCTATGCAACCTTTACAAATTTCTGAAAAAGACACTTTAGACGCAATATTGTCATTTTCGAATGGCTCTGCCGGCGGCATTGACGGGATTACCCCTCAACATCTCAAAGATCTTGTAAGCGTATCTGCCGGTGACGCCGGTAGGGTACTTCTTAATGACATTACAAAATTATGTAGTTTTATGCTTTCTGGTAATGTCAATCCCAATTTCATTCCCTACTTATATGGCGCAAGATTGTGTGCCTTCAAAAAAAAAAAAAGGATAACGGTATCCGTCCTATTGCTGTTGGTTCTACATTTCGACGCTTAACTTCAAAATTAGCTTGCAGGCACATAATCTCAAATCTTAAGACAAAATTTCAACCTCAACTAGGCTTTGGCACCAAATGTGGCTGTGAGGCGGCGGTATATTCGGTGCGTACTTTCTTAACTAATTCCAATGCAGATGTTCTTCTGAATGTTGATCTTAGAAATGCTTTTAACTCTATTGATAGGATAACCCTGCTGAAAGAACTGGCTAACAATACCCCCGAAATATATCATTACGTTTCGCAATGTTACAGTCAAAATTCAAACTTGTTTTATCAAAACCATATTATTGAGTCTGCTGTCGGTATTCAGCAGGGTGATCCATTAGGTCCAGCTCTTTTCAATTTGGGAATTCAACCTATTATTTCAAATTTAAAATCCAAGCTGAATGTCTGGTATCTGGACCACGGTACACTGGGAGGTAAAGCAGATGACGTCCTTAATGATCTCACTCATATTTTTCAAAATTTTAAAAATATTGGTCTTGAACCAAATACCAATAAATGTGAAATATTTATTTCTAATAATTTATCTAATTCTAACGGAGATACCTTAATTCAAAATTTCAATCAGATTTCTCCAGGAATAAAAAATGTCAATTCGGAATCGCTTTACCTGCTCGGTGTTCCGTTGTTTGTCGATAGTATTAAACCTGTTTTAAAAACAAAACTTGATCAATTTTTAAATCACGTTGATAAATTATATATTTTAAACCTCCATATTGCCCTTACCATTTTAAAATATTGTCTCCTTGTACCTAAATTTACATAGTTGTTACGCTTAAGTCCAGTCTGGAAATTTAGTTAATCTAGCCACTGGTTACATGCTCTACCATCAAGTGATCTCGGCAGATTGTTTGATGGGGAGAGCCTGCGCATCGCCGTAGGAATCCGGCTAGGAGTGGCAATTTGTCAACCTCACCAGTGCCCCTGTGGTAGCAGCGTCGATGAGTTTGGGCTCCACGGACTTTCATGCAAGAAAAGTGCAGGTAGGTTTTCCCGTCACGGTTCTTTGAACGAAATCATCCGAAGGGCTCTTGTCTCCATAAATGTCCCCTCGGTTTTAGAGCCTTGCGGGATATTTAGAGACAATGGCAGGAGACCCGACGGTATGACTTTGGTCCCTTGGGAGAGAGGTAAAGCTCTAGTGTGGGATGCTACTTGCGTGGCCACTTTGGCGGCCTCTCATCTCAAGGGTACCTCTTTTAGAGCCGGGGCGGCATCAGAGGCAGCCGAATTTAGTAAATGGCGCAAATATGAGTCTTTGAGAAATTACTATATATTTGTGCCATTTGCTGTAGAGAATATCGGTCAGTGGGGTGCGCGTGCAGTGAAATTTCTAAAGAAACTGTATCCACGACTGGTCGTCGCTGCTAGTGATAAGAGGGCTGGTTCTTTCCTCGCTCAAAGGCTAAAAATAGCTATTCAGCGAGGAAAATTCCTTCGAAGGGCAAGTTCGGAATTGAGAATTATTATTTACAAATATTTGAAACAGAATTTGTCATTTTTAATATATTATTCAGTATGTCGTCCCAAACAATTGCCTTCCTTTAGGTTCAAGTAGTTATTTGCATGGCATTAAGACATTATCGTTACAGCCTATAAAGTCTAAAAGTCTAAAGATTGCTTCATAGAGGGGATATTTGCCATAGTTGCCACGGTTGTCAAGAGGGTTGGCAACTACAGTTTTTTTATGTATAGTCGTTGTTAGAGAGACGCTGCTACCCATGTGCTGATTTGTATTGCCTCTGTTGCCTCTTACGACACACACGAGATAACATAGGGTAGAGAATATTCTACACTACCGCTAACCAGAACCAGGTAACCAGAACCGGGGTGGGTCACTGTTTTTAAATAAATGACCAACGAGGCAATCAATGCCAATTATTTCGTCTGTAAGGCAATCTAAAGGGGAAACCTATTTTTTACAGTGGTTCGGATCGAGCACACAGCCCACCTGATGGTAAGTGGATGCTGTGGTGTCATACACGTTTACATTTATCATCAATCAATATCATCAAAAAAAATCAAATGCATTATCACCTTTGCATACAAAGATAGAATGACTCGTATACAGTAAAATGGGCATCCGATTCTCTGTACCCATAATACGAAACCTACCAGCATTAGGCTGCTATTTTACGCCGGTATTCTGTGAGAATGTGATCCTGCCTCTGTCGAGCCAATTCGTTCGTGCTATAACCATAATGTGGCGTAGCATGGCTGTAGCCACGTACCTATAGAGGTCAAAACTGACACTACTACAATTATAGAAATATTCCCAATATTTAAATCTCAACGCGAATTTGTTAAGAACGTTAAAGTGCCAAACCACTAAAGTTTTGTTGTTTACTCAACTATCAAAATCGTTTTAATTTTTTGTAGCAAAAAATTATTTAAAAAAGGTTATTATATAATGATTTCTTATATTTGCGCGAACACTACACATTGATTAAAACTACTTTTACGTATTTTATCGTGTTTATTTTGAAACGACGGGAATTTAAAAGAAGTTCAAATTAAACACGATTAAATCCGTAAAAGTAGTTTTGATCAAAAGGTTATTATAGTACTAAATAGTACACGATTGATATAGCTCCCGGGAACGAGGTGATCTTCACAATGCTGTTTCTTGTAGTAAAACACACGCCAGTTGGTTTGACACTGACTTTATTTCTATACTCTAACCTATACATTATACTACATCTTTCCCTTTCTAAAATAATTTTATAAACAATAATAAAATTATAAACAAAAATAACTATAAGAAATTTTCTTTCTTGGACCTTTTTATGTTCACTATTGGTGATGGTGGTGAAGAAACACATTCTGTAAATGCTCTATCAGTACCAGGAGTAGTAGGAGTACTGGGCCGTGATGACGGCGCTCTGTCTGTCTGCGGACACACTTGAGAGTCTGCCTGAGTCTCGGACCCAACCTTTCGTCGACGTCGTACGCCCCAGGAGGCACTCGTACTTTTGTCTAGAATACGGGACTGAAACTCTGCAGTACTGGATGAAGTCCGAGACAACCTTGGTTTCCCATAATCCTTGGAACGTAAAATAAGATGGCTACGAGTACGTCGAAACCGTTTCCCTTGTTCATCTTCAACTATAAAAGACCTTGGCTCCTCGGCACGAGCTGCTACTGAAACAGGTTTCCTACCAGCATTACATAATAAAGTAGCTTTATCGCCTACCGATAAACGCTCAAGTGACTTCGTGGACTTATCGTATTGTTTTTTAATCTTTTCTCTATGAGCCGTCAAAGATTGGTAATTGCGATCGTTATCTACTGTAGCTTTTAATAATTTTTCAGAAATTGGCAGTTTCGTTTTTATCCGTCTCCCCATAAGCATCTGTGCCGGAGAATCTAAACCATTTCGAGGCGTCGACCTGAAATTTAATAGACTTAAATAAAAGTCTTGGCCTGAGTCTACGCATTTCTTTAGTAAACTTTTTATAGTTTGGACAGTTCTTTCACTTTTTCCATTAGACTGGGAATAGTTGGGGGATGAGGTAACGTGATCTATTTCCCATTCATTCAAAAAATTCTGAAATTCTTTCGACTTATAGGCCGGCCCATTGTCTGTCACTATTTCAGCGGGTATACCGTGTCGAGCAAACTGCGTTTTCATAAAATTTATAACATGTTTGCTACTGATACCGGCTCCTCCTCGACCTCAACATAATTCGAAAAATAGTCCAAAAGGAGAATATATTTCTTTCTTTTATATTCAAATATATCGGAAGCCAGTTTTTGTCAAGGCAAATCCGGCACGTGATGTTGCAAGAGCGGCTGGCGACGCGGGCGCGGCGCGTGCAACGCGCACGCCTTACAGCGGCGCGCCACGCGCTCCACTTCCGCGCTCATGCCCGTCCAGAACATAACTTCGCGCACGCGCCTCTTACACCGATCGATGCCCAGGTGACCCTCGTGCACGCGCTCTAACATTTGCTCCCGTAACCTACGCGGAATGAACACACGGTCTCCCTTAAAAATCAACCCGTCGACATACGACAGTTGCTCTCGATATGGCCAAAATACACTAACGTTGTCATTCACATCGCGCCTATGTTTTGGCCATCCATTTTTAATATACGTTATTAATAATTTACAGTCACTATCCGTTTCGGTGTCCTTTATAATAGACTCTATTTTTGATAGACTGAATGGTATGTTCTTTAGCATAAAACAGGTTTATACATTGACCTCATCAGATACATAGTTCTGTATTAACTCACCCAGAGGGGCCCGCGACAGAGTATCCGCAATATACATGTACTTGCCCGGTGTATATATAACTTTAATATCGAACCCTTGCACTCTTAACATCATACGCTGTAAACGTATCGGTACTGAAGTTAACGGTTTTTTAAATAATGCTTCCAGTGGTTTATGATCAGTGTGAACTGTAATATCTGACCTACCGTATATGTACTGCCTAAACCGTTCGACAGCAAAAACTATCGCGAGCATCTCTTTCTCAATTTGAGCATATCTAGTCTGTGTGTCTGCCAACGTTAGCGAAGCAAATTCTACCGGTCGCTCATTCTGTAGAAGTACAGCTCCAATCGCGACGCTGCTAGCGTCCATCGACAATACCACTGGCGCTTCCGTCGAATAAATCGCTAACACTGGAGAACTCGCTATTTTTTCTTTTAATTTATTGACAGCCTCAGAATGGTAAGCCTCCCACACCAACTCGGCATCTTTCTTTAATAAAGACCGCAACACATTCACATAATCTGAATAACTTTGAATGAATTTTGATAAATAATTTACCATTCCTAAAAATCGTTCTAGAGATTTTTTGTCCGTTGGATAAGGCATGTCCAATATAGCCTTTACCTTTGAATCGTCGGCTTTTATTACATTAGCGTCAAATTTGTGACCTAAATTGGTTATTTCAGGAACACTGAATTTGCATTTGTCGCGGTTAAATTTAATACCTACATCTTGGGCACGCTTTAATAGAGCTTCTAATCGTTGATAGTGTTCATGCTGAGTTGATCCGTACACAATTACGTCGTCAACGAACGATTCTTCGAGGTCTTCCAAGTGTTGTCTGAGCTTTGCATGAAAAACTTCTGGCGCACAACTTATGCCATATGGTAAGCGCAAAAATTGGAACCTACCGAAGGGCGTGCTAAACGTACAAAGGTCAGCACTAGCATCATCAATTTGCAACATCCAAAACCCACAGTGAGCGTCGAGCACGCTGAACACCCGCGCGTCATGCAGCTTCACCGCCAGTTCTGTCACTGTGGGCAACGAGTACTGCGCGCGGCGCACGCTCGGTTAAGCGGTCTAGGGTCTAGACAAACACGAATGCTACCGTCCTTCTTAGCCACTAAAACAATTGCATTTACCCACTCTGTCGGATGTGTGACCTTTCTAACAACACCGAGTCCTTCCATTTGTTTTAACTCCACTAATAACTTTTCTTTCATACCTAGAGGTATTTTCCTAGTGGGAGAAATAACGGGTGGAACACTTTTATCCACTACAATACTGTATTTGCCAGGTAACATGCCTAAACCTTTAAACAAACCCGAATAATTTTCGATATTTATTGCATTGATACAATTAATTACACCCATCGTAATACAACTTTCTAATCCGAGTAGATTTTGACAACATGAATCGGTGACAATAAACGGCAATACAAATTGTTTGTTATTATAAACTACGTTTAGTTTTACAACGCCTAAGACAGGTAACCTGTCTCCTGTGAAGGAATACACTCTCTTTGAAAACGGACGAAGTTGTTTAATCGATAAGCCAATACGTAAATATTCACTCTTGGAAATAACATTCATCATAGAACCAGTATCTATTTTAACTAAAAGTTCTTTGTTATTACATTTCACGCTTTCGAACCATTCTTTAGTCGACTTACCGCATTTTTTGCCCTCGCTTACGGTATCAACATAGAACATTTCCGAGTCACTATCATTTTCCGCAGAATCCAAACTCAAATTATGTACCTTTTTTACTACACCCTTTTGTTTACACATCCGTGAAAAATGACCTTTTTTATCACACACAAAACATCTGGCTTGACGTGCCGGGCACTTATCGCCGCCAGCACAGCGCACGCTCCCGCAGCGCACGCATGGCTCCGCCGCCGCCGGCGCGGCCTGCGCTGCACCAACCGCGCACCCCCTTCTGGACGTGGACGCGGTCTGCGTTCGACCCCTGCCGCTGCGCCAACCGCGCGCCCCACGGCGGTTGCCTTGAACTCCATCCACCTGACCGCTCTCCGCCTCGTTGCCGTCGATACACAGACTTTCTTTCTTAGAAATTTCTGCCGCTTGACATATCTGTATCGCTTTCGATAACGTCAAAGTGTCTGTACGAAGTAAAGTGTTATTCACTATTCCGCAAACGATTTTATCTCGCAGCAGGCTCTCGTGCAAATCACCGAAGTCGCATTGCCGACTCAGTACTTGCAAAGCGGTCACATATTGGTCGATATTTTCTCCATTCTCTTGATTTCGCGAGAAGAATTTGAAACTTGTTACTGTTATATTCGGTTTAGTACCAAAATAACTATCGAACTTCTTCAAAACGCAATTGATATCATCTTCGCTTTCGCCCTCTTCGAAAGTAAAAGTCGTGAACACCTCGTATCCTGCCGAGCCGATGAGGTTAACCAATAAACTAGCCTGAATCTCTTTAGGCTCTTTGCTCACTCCAGATGCTTTTAAGAACACTTCGAATAGCCGTCGCCATTGACGCCACGCTTCGGCCCGGACGGCTGGCCCGCCTTCGAGTGATAATTCCGCTGGTGGACGCGCGTGTTCCATGATATTTATTATAAAATACACACAAAACTGCTTTATAATAAACTAAAAACACGTATTATTGGTGGATTCGCAAATAAATTAATCCCCACCGCTGCCACCATGTAGTAAAACACACGCCAGTTGGTTTGACATTGACATTATTTCTATACTCTAACCTATACATTATACTACATTGTTTCATAGCGGATTTTGTAAAATATAATAGTAATTGTATTGTAAATTAATATTTAAAAAAAGTCCTGCTGGGTTTCTTGCCGGTTTTTCTTAGGACAGAGATGTTTTATCTGAACTATACGTGTTAGAGCCATGGTTCTGTTATAGTAGTATAGTTGTAGCACGAATGGGTCGGTTCGACCGGGGAAGTACTACGCTCTCACAGAATACCAGCGTAAAATAGTAGCTTAATGCTGCTGTATTTCGTATGGCGAGTGAAGAGAAACGGAGACCCTTATTACTGAAAACGAGGCATTCCATTTTAGTCCTCACGGGTGATAACGCATCTCCATTTTGATTCGTAACTGAGGATAGATGTAGATGTCTATGGGCCACAGCAACCACTTAACATCAGGTGGACTGTGTGTTCGTTTGTCACCCTATCCTATAAAAAACCCGGTAATAAAGCTTAAATTTCTTCTTCTATATTTAACACAAATAATTATATTCTATTCTATTCTTTATGACGTCATATTTTCAATTACACCAATCGACTCCTTTAACAAATTATTGACATTGGTTTGACTTAGTGAAACAAAGACGGGCTAGTTAGAGGTTACATAAATAACGTTTCAGTACTTAATACATTCAAGCTGGTTAAATAATAATTGAAGAACAATAAGTACTTATATTTATGGGTTTATTGCCAATTGAAATAATATTATAATTAAGTGTGAAACATAGGCTATTACTGCGGTTTTGCTTGCGGAAAAATAAAGTTTTAATAAAAAATATATAAAGATTCCATTACTATGGTAAACCTATTCACGTCAGAAATGAACAATGTCCAGACCGTCGAGAGGAAGCAGCGTAATAAGTGCAAAACATCAACGTGTTTGTCAATCGATTTGTCAAGCATGGCGTGTCGTTTTTCACACGACAAATCCATGGACTCCCGCAACAGACATACTGGCTGGCTGGCAGACAGTTATACAATACTAGGAGATTGCCCTCATCAACCCTCATTTTCATCGAACTAAGAGTGATGGTAGTGTGCCCCACTTTCATTTCCGACAGTATATCCAGCGGTGAAGATCGAGCCATGGCTACGAAGGATGTCAGAAAGTCGTTCTTATTTTCTGCTCATAAACATCTACATCTATCTTCAATTACAACACAAAATGCAGATGCGCTGTTACCCGTGACGACTAAGACGAAATGTGTCCTTTCCAGTAAAAACGGTCTCCGGTTCTCTACACTCACCGTACGAAACACGGCGTACAGCTGTTGTTCTGTGCTGGTACTCTGTGAGAGTGTGGTCCTTCCCCGGTCGAATCGACCCATTAGTGATACAACTATAGTACTAATAGTACCACGTAATAGTAATATCTTACGTGGTAACAATAATATACCACGTAAGATATCCGCGTGTCATTAGATATCCCCGTACGATTTAAAGTTTTTACACCCCATACAACCAATTGTTTTCTGTGAGTTAAAATTAAGACAACTTTTACGAGCTTGCATGAGCACGACGAAGACAAACTTGATTCTGGAAATGTCAGAAAGTTGCAGGTTGACGTGATGATACATAACGTCGGTTGGCCACCACTTTGGCTACCGAAGGAAAAGGGAAGATCTCCTGCCGGCGATGTGAAGTGGAGAACGGTGTTTATATATTTCTATAAATTGCTATATTTCTTTAGAATTTAAGTATTACAAAGATAAAAAATCTAACACGAAGTAAGTACATAAAATATGCAAAAAACCCCTGTATTTCCATTTAAATACGTTATGAAAATGAGTATTCAATAGTAGAGAATAACTTTATTCAGATAAGTCAACCATAAATTTTTATTTTCAGATTGTATTTGGTTTCATTACCTCTAACTGACACGTTCATCGGTGAAGCGGGGGGGGGGGGGGAGGGGGTCTTTGACAATACGTGTAATTTGCATAAAAAATTTAATTTTTTTTAAATTTATTTCTGGAGTAAAGTTATTCTATACGTTTGAATACTGATTATTATAACGCACGTGGGAACCACAGGGTTTTTGTTACATATTGTATCATCATCATCATCATCATTACAGCCCTTCACAAGTCCACTGCTGAACATAGGCCTCCCCCAAGTAACGCCACAAAGCACGGTCCTGAGCCACCTGCATCCATCGACTTCCTGCATGTCTTACCAGGTCGTCACTCCATCTAGTGGGGGGTCGCCCTACACTACGCCTACCGGTACGAGGTTGCCACTCGAGAACCTTTCTTCCCCATCGGTTATCGGTTCTTCGAGCGATATGGCCGGCCCATTGCCACTTTAGCTTACTAATCCGTTGGGCTATGTCGGTCACTCTGGTTTTACTGCGGATATCCTCATTTTTGAGCCTATCACGCAGAGAAACTCCGAGCATAGCCCTCTCCACAGCTCGCTGAGCGACCTTGAGCGTCCTCATACGGCCAGCAGTGAAGGACCACGTCTCAGATCCGTAAGTCATCACTGGCAACACGCACTGGTTATACACTTTAGTTTTCAGAGATTGAGGTATACCTGAGGAGAAGATGTCTCGTAATTTCCCGAACGCTGCCCAGCCGAGTTGAATCCGTCGATTGACCTCTCGGTCGAAGTTGTTTATACATATTGTATAAACAAGAACATTTCTCAGAAAGCTTCAGGGCTACTTGTGAAACTTTAAACTGCTCTACGAAATAACTGCCAATCCTGTTTGATTTAGGCAATATGTTAATGGCAATTGAAGGGAATATCCGATTTCCACTTACACCTGACATTAATAAAGTAAAAAAATATTGTAAGAGCGCACGTAAAGACAACAGATATTTTACATTATTATAATGCATTTTATAGAGAATAACATCATTATGCACAACTTAAATAAACAAGACTCGGAGGGGTATGCTCGGACATTAGTATAAAAGGCAGGTGTGACTTAAACTTTTTAACTTGCAGCAAAGAAACCCGCAAGATGGAGCCGAAAGTTTTCTTTTCTTTTTATTGGTAAGTGTCAATAATACCCAATATTAATAATTTTATGCTTTGTTTTTGTTTATTCTTGAAAATAATTATATAATAAAAAAAAAAGTTGATTTTTGATATATTTTGTCTCAACAAAATGCTTCTATTTGAAGCTCGTCAATCAAAACGGTGAGATATTTCGGTAAGTGTTGAAAATTCCAAAATAACTGAGATCACTACTCTATGAGTTTTGAAGTCAACTCGATATTATGAGTTTTATTGTGATAGAGAGTTTTGTAAAGAAAAATCCTGTCTGAACCTGCATTAGTAGCAACATACACACACTTTTGGTGGAAACTTCTTTATCGATGCAGTGGAGAAATTTAGAACGGTATTAAAAAAACTAAAACGTCACGTTTTTTGTAAGGTTTCACCGCCGGGGCTGAATGAGTGAATTTTATTGAACCTTCTTACGTAAAATATTATATAAAAAAAGAATGACATGCCGTAAAGAAATTTCACTTCGTACGTGTGTACGCAATTAAACGTACAATCTTTTTCCTTTGTCACTTTTATTTGTCAATTTTAATAATTTTTTTCTTCTTATAAAAAACTTAGCTTAACTCTATTCTGTTATTTTTCAGATCGGCGCAGCCGTAAGCATCTCATTGTCATGTAAGTATCTCTCAAAGAGTTATATATATCATCTTAATTAGATTTGAGTGATAAGCTAGTAATCTTTATGTGAAAACATCACGGTGCAGTACGAATATATACGTATTATAGTTGCGGTACGAATGGATTGATCCGACAGAGTAAGGTTGGGTTTCCGTAGACCAGCGTAAAATAGCATCTTGATGCTGCCGTGTTTCGTATGATGTGTAGAGGACAAAGACTGTCTGAACTGCCATTGCATAAATTCATCCTCGTCATTAGGTCCAGTTAGCCGTGGTAGCTCAGATGGTTAATGCTCGCTGTACATCACAGTACCCGAGTAACCCGAGTTCGATTCCCGCCGGCACCAATGAAATATTTAATTGCTACTTTAAGTGCTTATTTACTACATGTTAGGCGGTGAAGAAAAACATCGTGAGGAAACCTACATGTCTGAGGAATAAGAAGACATGTTAAGTTCGCCAACATGCATTGGGGCAGCGCGGCGGACATTACCTTGCCCTAAAACCCTCTCAGAAATGATGGGAGGCCTGTGCCCAGCAGTATGACGTATATAGGCTGTAACTTTACTTTTACTTTACATTAGGTTCACTCCTATCCACGCTTCTACATGTTGATATAGTATAGTCGAAGATATTTGTCTTGTATCATGTACATGTCTATGGATCACAATGTAAGCTCGTTTTTCACCCTTATATAAAGAAACTCAGCTTCGTGTCTCGTACATTTATTACGAAATAGAACTGGGATCTTCGTACAGGAAATTTGCTGCTGAGAAAACTTACGATTATGCTTATTGCATCGTCATCATTATTAAGAAACATTTGACTGTGATCCCTTCTGTATCTATAGAAGAGTTCTGTTTAACAGTAAATGACACGTTTTTATGACAATACAAATATAGTTTAAGGTAGAACCCATGTCAATTACAATTGAATTACCCACCTACTTATCATAATTAAAATAAAGAATGGCAGGAAAATAAAAAGAATTTTTTCATTAAAATAATTTATCGAATCAGGCGTTACTTTGCGGAAGTCCATTATAAGTGGAAATATATTAGAATTTGGTAAGAGTTACTTTGCCCACATCCGCTCTTTGAAATACAATGATGTGTCTTTCCTAGTTTGAAGAGAATCTCCCGACCTCACTCAATTGCATGCACTAATACCGTCCGCACTAATTCCATTAAAGGCAATCCTGATACGGAGTCTAGCGAAGAAGGTGGCAGCCCATGCGGTGAACAAGTCGCACTAACACAGCCATGTCAACATCCACTGGTAGATCCACTACCAGATCCATGTCAACATCAACCGTCGGGTCAACATCCATGTCCACTTTGTCCTAAATCTTAATGTAAAGGTGGCTGTAAAGGTGGCTGTAAAGGAGGCTGTAAAGGATAAGTAAGGTAGCCCTTGCTCCTTTAGATACCTCTCAAGGTAGGTTAAATAAATAAAATAAATAAATAACCCTTTTTATTTCTCATTTTCCATGGTTATGCAACAATAGATAACATATGCATGAACAATATTAACAAATCATTTACATAATTAATTCATATTTAGTTGCATAATTATTTTGAATTTGCAATTTTTAATGTTTAATATAATTTATATAATTTAAAAATGTATTTTTCATTATATAATTTGATTATTTACACATTATTACTAATAAATAAAAATAATAATAATAAAGAAAATATTAGTTTCCGTTAATTTAATGAGAACCCCCATCTCAGGGTAAAGGCCTCCTCCATTTTTGACCATTGTTTTTTATCTTTCGCCTTGGTTTGCCAATCATCTCCTGCTATGTCTTTGATGTCGTCAATCCACCTTCTACGTGGCCTCCCTCGTTTTCTTATACCCTTGGGCCCTTTCCATACCACGACTCGACGCGTCCATCGAGCATCCTCTATTCTAGCTAGATGTCCTGCCCATTTCCACTTCAATTTCATCGAGTGGGTTAAGAAATCCATTCGGTTTGTTTTTTCTCTTATCTTGGTGTGGCGTACTTTATCTCTCCTTCGGAGTCCTAGGATAGATCGTTCCATAGCAGCTTGACATATTCTGATTTTTTCTTTTGCCTGTTTTGTATATATCCGAGTTTGCGAACCATACGTTAGGCAGGGAAGGATGTAACTATCCATTATTTTCTTTTTCATAGAAATCGGCATGTCTCCTTTCATTATTGTCTTGTTCTTGTCTTGTTGTGAGAAATAATAACAAGGTAGGTTATATCTTACTATATTTAAAAAAAATTAAAGGAATTGAGTTGCTCTCACGAAAGAGATGAGATAAATTTAAGCATTTGACTCAACAATATTTACAGTGTCGTGGGCTGGCGGACACTCTTACGCTCTCTCTCTGGGGTTTCGTAAGAGACAGCAGAGGGGAACTTACACAGCGAGTGCGCAGCAGCATTTTTATCTGATAACAACTGAATGTGGTCGGTTGCCAAGCCACCAGTACTGGCTACTACAGGCAATACTGATGTCTAGCAGCGAACGTTTACAGACTGTAATAGATTGATGTACTCAGGGTATAGTATATGGGAGTTGGCACCGGCAGGCAGCTTTATGTTAAACTTGGTTAGACTTCAATAGCTCGACTGCCTGGCTGTACATGCATATGGTAGTCAAATATTCTTTGTATTGGACCCTATGGACAGACCGAGATTTTATTAACAAATCATTATAATTTAGTTATTTTCATTGAGGCCAATACAGTCACTAATTTACGTTATATTCTAAGATTATTCAACAAAACTATTGGTGTACGTGAGCTCTGGTAACGTGGTCAAAATGTCGCTACGTATCGATGTTCTCAGCTGAACAGGAGTATAATATAGTGCGCAAACATAGGTGCGCTCTTTATTCCGACATTATTATAACTATGGCAACTACACGACACAAGAGAAATTAGTGTTTATATTTTAGAGTTTATGAAACTTATAGTTACAATAATGTTGTTCAGTAGAAAAATTGTTTGTTTTTTGTTACAGATCACGTCTTCGATTCTACGGCTTACGAATCTTGTCCAAAGGTTTTGTTTTTAATTAGTTAAATGGTTTTTATATATTTATTTATATTTGATTATATATATTTGATATCTCGATTCTTCGATATGTTGTTGTTTTTTGGGGACCATCAACTGACAGAGAAACTGTACTCAGGTTGCAAAAACGCTGCATTAGATCAATGTGTGGTCTACAACCGATGGACAGTTCTGTTTCAGTTTCAGACCTTACTTTAAATCATTAAAACTGTTAAATTTCTTAGCGCTGTATAATTTAGAAACTGATCTTTTTATAAGCAGAAATCCTAGACCCACACACACAACGACAATACGTGCTCAATACATAAATCAATTAAGCAATTTGTAATGTAAAACTGCCTTAAAGTTTTTTTCGAACTTGCTCCCAAATTATTCAACAAAATTCCTAATGCAATACAAATAATTGCACTGTCAAATTTTAAGATAACACTGCAAACATTTCTTCTTGACAATTGTTAATATAAAACAGAAGAGTTTTTAAACGATACGTTATTATAATATAAATCTTATGCTTGCAATTTGTTATAGGTTTCATCTTATTTTAAGAATATTCTTTCATTATTATAATTATGAAAAAAAAATATATGTTAATTTTAACCTATTTAATTTTTAAAATATTTGTATGTCTTACGACAAAACACAGCGCACTAATAAAGTGTATGACCACCTAATGTATATGTATACCTGTGTTTCACAAATATAAATTTTGATACTGAGTTTTATTTGATTGATTAAATATATAATTTCATTATTTATATTTCGTTTTTATTTTTTCATATACTTAACCGTAAAATATCAGTAAGGATCTAATACATAAAAATAATACTAAGCTTCATATTCATAACTTTATAAATAAATAACGAGTTGAACTTAACACAAATTAGTTTTAATCAAAACAATATTAAATAAAACAATATTAACACATGGTGTCACATATGACGTTTGGACCCACGGATCACCTATTTCCCGATTTAACAAGGATAGACTGTATTCGTAGTAATTTTAAATCATTCAGATTAAAAGCCGGAGCTAAATAAAGTAGATCCAGTAGAAGTCATATAAACTTCGAATTAGACAACATGCTATACAAGTCGCACTACTGTAGGAGTGGATTTGTTACTTGTAGAACTTAGAAACCTTAACAAAATTTCTCGGACTTAAAACGCTTGAACCAAGTTTGTGCCACTCTTACTGACACTGCATTATGTCATTAAACGTGAAGAAAATTTTTCGCGGCTTAAATCGCAATTTTCCCTTTTTTTTTAAATAAAATTTCTAATTGTATCGAATTTATTCGTTAGATTCACTCATTTTGGCGGACAGAAAAACAATTAAAAACGGCCGGAAAGTGTTTTCACTTTAAATTTTTCTTTTACTTAATGTCCTATATGTATTGATATTAAAACCAGCCAGATGTAAACGGTACAGCCAAAGAGATTTTTCTTCGAAGAAACTTTTTATTAAAGATAACCTTTTAGTAAACCTAACCTGGTAATCAAGCTTGTAAAACCAACCCGCAAATTTACTTGCCAATTAAGATGGTTACCGACCTGGTGATCAAGCTGGTAGCCGACTTGCAAAGTTACATCTTTTTTAATTCAAAATGTAAGAATCAAGCTGATACACAAAATATTTTTTATCCCTGCAGCAGAAACGACTCACGGTTTAATTGCTGTGGTCTATTAACTATAAGATATTATAAAAAATTATAAACCACATTGGCCATCTAGTTATTTGATTAGAAACTTCTTCAGTGTTCTTTTAGCTTTTTTATTTTATAATGTTTTATTTTATTTAATAAAGCGAGTGGAAGCTCGTTAAGCAAAGAGGGGAGCAGGTATTCCCATGTGCGCTTGGCATAAATTATGTGTGCGATGTTAAATACCTTCTGTGTACTAAATATCGGGAATTTGTCAATAAAACAAAAAATACAAATTATTCATCTAAATTTATTTTATCGCCTTCAAAGTAGGCCCCATCGCTTGCAACACAACATCACCAACGCTTCACCCAGTCTTCCATACATTTTTCATAGGCTATTTGCGGTATGGCCTTTAGCTCATTCAGCGAATTTTTTGTTATGGCTTCTATCGACTCAAAACGTTTTCCTCGAAGTGGTAATTTTAACTTGGGAAATAAAAAAAGTCAGACGGAGCCATATCAGGTGAATACGGTGCTTGGTCGAGAACTTTTGTTGAATTTTTCGCTAAAAACTCTTTCACTATAATGGCTGTGTGTGATGGTGCATTATCATGGTGCAGAATCCATGAGTTGTGTTGCCACAAATCTGGACGTTTTCGGCGGATACTCTCACGCAAACGCTTCATGACGCCTAAATAATATTCTTTATTCACTGTTTCTCCCTTTGGAAGGAATTCGGAGTGAACCACACCACGGTAGTCAAAAAAAACTGTCAGAATCACCTTGATTTTGGAGCGACTTTGCCGCGGTTTTTTGGGTTTCGGCTCGTTTTCGAGACGCTATTCTGAAGACTGTTGGCTTGTTTGCATGTCGTACTCATAAACCCATGTCTCATCGCCAGTTATTATACGTTTCATAAAGGTCAGATCCGTAGAAGCTCGGGAAACCATGTCTTCAGCGACATGCTTTCGCTGCGCTCTTTGAACAAAATTGAGCTCTTTTGGAACTAGTCGAGCGGCGACGCGTTTCATGCCTAAAATGTCAATGAGAATGTTGTGTACGGACTTAAAAGATATGTTCACCTCACTAGCCAACTCTTTCAGACTCATACGTCGATTTTCGAGCACTAGCTTCTTGATTTTGTCGATGTTTTCTTTGGTCGTAGCGGTTGAAGGTCTACCAGAACGAGGCAAGTCTACTACTACTTCTCGGTCTTCTTTAAAAGCCTTATACCATTCATAAGCCCTTGTTTTCGATATAAACGATTCGCCGTAGGTATTTCGCAACATTTTTAGTGATTCACCACATGAAATATCATTCGAAACACAAAATTTAAGGCATACTCTTTGTTCAACAATATTTTCCATTGTAAAAATCGCCGAGAACTCAAAACTATGACCAACAAAAAGTGTAGTTTAAAATAAATCAAATGACAGATCCCGCTCAAACTTTGCGCGCTAAATCAGTACAGTGCTACCAACATGCAGTAAAAAAATTAGAACGACCTCTTTTACGCGGGTCTTTTTATTGATATATTCCCGATACTTTTTACACAGAGTAGTATGTTGATGTGTTTCGGGAAATCTGACTGCAATAATGCAACAGTTCAGACATTATAAACCGGTTTTGCAAATGTAT